TATGGTAATAGTCATTTTATTATAAAGGAAGCATTGCAATCTTCCACCGTGTGGCCAGTGATATTTGTTGGTTGAAATTTATAAAATCTTTTCTTAAAATATTTTCTCGAAAATAGGTATCTGTCCTGACCCTTTCTAGTATTGATGTGGTTTCCTTTCTAATCTTTTGTTTGAAGTAGTGTGGAAGGTCAACATCATGTTTATGTCGTTATTTTCTCTCCGAGTTAGATATGGCATCCATTTCGGTTGTTCCTGCTGTTGAATGTTCCTAAGTAATGTGGTTTCTGTGATTTGGTACAGTTCTTTGTGATTATGTAGCGCCAGTTCATATGCTCTGAAGACGGATGGTCCTCGCCAGTACCTACAGGTTTTATTTGCTAGAAGCCATTTTTAACCATTGATCCTAGAAATATATTTGTGAATGATTGAGGTGCCATTCTTAATTAAGAATATGACGTGTTTACATGTTAAAGTTTTATAGATAGACAAATGGGTATCTATATGCGTAACCAGGCAGCTGCAAACGGTTACTATGTGATGGTTAATGAATCAAACTCGAAAGACACTGAAAATGAATTCCTTTCATGTTAAGGATGAGTAAATTTTGTGATATCATGAATCATCTGCACAAATCAAACACTTTTGTTTAAAATCATAAATAAATAATAACTGACCTCTGCTATTCGAGGATACCCGTCTACTAGGGCGGCTAGGCAATCCCTATTGCAGACACTCGATCAGGCACATTTGTGTTTGCTTAACACCCACAGAGCCCACCTGTCGTTTATACTGCAACTATGCTGAGCAGACCTTTGTTACAGTTCCTGGGAGAGAGCGTGTTATCTAGCATGATCAACAATTTGAACAAGGCCAGAACGCTCAAGATCTCGGCCACGATGACTTGTGGCTTTGTGCTAGCTATCTATAGCCATCAACTTTAATTTTATTCACAAGTCAACGCATAGTATGGTTTTTCAGGCACTTTCCAAAGATGCCGCACGCTGGGATCGACCTCGATCCATTCCGATAAAATTAGAAAGTCTCCTTTCCGACAAATGGACCATGGTGAGACTCGAACCTGGGTCTCCTGATCAGAAATCCAAAGTTCTAACCACTCAGCGTAAATATATATATATATATATATATATATATATATATATATATATATATACTTGATTCGTTTCCAAAAATCTTATTGAGAAACAAAATACAGACGTACATATCTATATGTACAGGACTATTCCAGTTTCATAAAAACTCATGAAAAGAAGTCACAATTTTCACACATGCGTACACAATCATAGCCACACTTTTAAAAATGGCGTCGCTTAATCTTGTCAGGAATCAGACGGATGAGTAAGTTTGGTGGGAAGATTAGAGTAGAAGCTAACCTGCTGAATAGTCGATAAAACATTTTTAAATATCTGCCTTCATACGATTTGCGGAGAAGGACGAAATAGACCATGAAGTCTTTGTTTTGTAATCTTTTGTTTTCCATTTTAAAGAATAATGTTTGATTTAAAAATAAATTGAGTAGGGAAAAAAGAAAAATTAATTTTGAGAAAAGAAGGCGGGGAAAATCTTTCAAAATGGAGGAATGAGGACATAGAAAAGAAAAGAAAAGAAAGAGGATAAAAATAGATAAAAATGAGAAAGAAAAAGAAACAGGAACGACACAAATAAAGAAAGAAAAGCAGCAAAGAATAAAGGATAGAAAAAGAAAATAATACAAAGAAAAAAGAAGACAAGGTGAAAAAGAGGAAAGAAAACGAGAAAAGAAAAGAAGACAAACAGGAAAAAAAGCGAAGAAAAATGACGAAAAAGACGTCAAAGAAGAAATAAAGACAAAGAAAAAAGAAGGAATATGGAAAAAAATCAAATAGAGAAAAGGAAACAAAATGAACAGAAAAAAAAGAAGAAAAAAAAAAGCTAAAAAAGGATGCCGAAAAACGACAAAAGTAAAAATACAAATAAATTAAAAAGAAGGGTGGAAAATATAGGGAAAAAAAGGATAAACAAAACAGAAAGAGGACCAAGCAGACGAAAGAAGAAAGACAAGACAAAGAAAATGTCCAAAGAAAGAAAGGTAATGGCACCATGACCTCTGCGAGAGAAACAAATCTGTGGAAACAGCTCTAGATTTAAGTAGGGGTCATAACCTCCTGAACGGCTCACACTCTTCGGAATTGCCGGAGGCTGACGATAAAATTAGGCTGGGATTTTCCAGTGACTTTGGCTAGCATAAAGGAAATCACCATAACATTTTTCTTCTTTGAGAGTGGAGACAAAATGTCGGCCAAGTCCAGAGAATTAATGCAATAAATAACCATTCACTAGCCTTAGGCAATTATATCTTGTAACTAATAAAATAAGGAAGAAAGACTACACGCCGAAATCCCCCATCTTGAGATCCTTTCAAAAAGGAATGGATGGCTTTCGTTAATGAGATATTGGAGAAGATTCTGCGTCACTAATTTGGTGTGAATTTCTTTAGACCAAGTTTACCATCAAAGCACTAACAAAAGACCAAACTAATTCCGACTTCGGCCACTTTTAACAGCAATGTGAATTTTTGCTCAATTGTCTTTGTGATCTGGACATAAATATCTGTTCTCGTCTTTTACTTTGGTGTTTAGAAAACTTCGGCAGCAAACAGCACTTAACTCTACAAGTTGCTCATCAGCATATTTGTTAATATCTCAATTTTTTCTTTGATTCTGTTTTCTGTTATAGAACCTCGACGACTGTCGTCCCTACGATCCCCAATCTAGAATTATATCCCCACCCCACACATATATATGCATTCACTAGCTCAGTCACTAAATCTACTTTCAAAATATATCACAACTCTAACTGTAGAAGTCCTAACATAATTTACCTCCTAGAATGCACACTATGCCAGAAACAATATGTAGGAAAATCTGAATGACCCTTTCACTACAGAATTAATAATTATCGCAATCGAATTAAGTCGACTCCCTATGAAAAATTATTACCTGTAGAACAACCTTTCCGCCTAGAAAAACACGATTTTAAAACCCATGTCAAATTCACTATAATTGAGAGAATAGAAAAGTTCAGAGCAGATAACATTAGAAAGATTTTAGAGTTCCTTGAAAATAAGTGGATGCAACGTTTAAAAACGCACTATCCATCCAGGCTTAACCATAAATTTAAGAATATAGATAGTACTAATATATAACCTCATATAACTGAAACTATCCACATTTCGCACCCATACAAAACGGACATGCTTGTTTTTTTTTATTCAGCAAAATTGGCCATTTTTTTCCATTTTATAAAAAAATTGAAAATCTCCTTTTGAAATTCTTTTAAATATCAATTATCATTTTTTCAAAACTTATTTTAAGAAAATTAGAAATTATAATATTTATTTAATATATTTTGAAGCAAGTTTAACTTAGCTTCTGCGCTAAAAAGATGTAATTTGAAAATAAAACAAAGCAGGTCATAAACTTTTGCGTCACTTGACAGGTGATGAATGACATATTGACGGATTCCGTGAGGATAATTTGTTCTACGGAAGGAGAAAAGTGAAATTATTTACATTTAAGTGAACAAATTATTTACCTCGTTATTTTTAAGGAAAACTTTCAGCGCTCTAATTGTTTTTTTGTTTTTATTTTTTGTACTTAGCTTTCACCTTTTCGTTTACGATGCTTTATGGAAAATATATTATAAAGAAATTACAATAAGACTTAAGAGTGAGACTAAATTTCATAAGAAAGGTATCTAATTAATTTATAGGTACCTTTCTTATGAAATTATCAGAAAATATGTACATAAAATATTATAATTTATGTACATTTATTACATTTACTGTGTTGTATTTCCATTCATTTTATTATTAATTTTGATATTTCATTTATGGAAAAATGTCATAACTGAGATTAATATAAAAATAAGATCATATAAATTTCATAAGATGATACTGATACTTGTAGGTACCCTTCTCAGTTGAAATTGAAAAATCAAATTAACTTCTCCACACGTGTTTCGCAAAAGTAAAGGCCTTAACAGCGGAGAACAATGCTTAACTCAAATAGCACAATTTAATTGTATTCTGGTTGGTCTTCCGTACTTTATAATTACAGTTCGATTATAAACACAAAATTATATTTCTTAATTACTGCGGATCTTCTGATTAGTCAAAATGATACAATTTACAACGCGCTAAAAAAAGATCTATCTCATAAGGACACTTAGGAAACTCGATGCGGCTTTTAACGAATTTTATAATATTTTAACAACTTAAGTGTAAAAATCTATTATAATTAAAAAAATAACAAATAATTGCATTAAAAATTCATTTTTCATCGAAAAAATTTTCTAATTTCAGAAAATATTGTCCATATTCATAAAAGCAAATAAAAGCATTTGAAATTAAATAATATCTTTGTTTTATTGAGTTTTGTATGTTACAATTAAGAGCTGATTTTCAGGTAGGGGGAGTCCAATTAGAATAAAAACAAACATGATTTGCATTCCTAAAAGCCTTGTGCTTTTAACTATTATAATCACTAAACCTGACGTGATCAAATTTCTAGTGATTTCATAAGATTAGTTATGGTGGGGGGGTAATAAACATAAAAAATATTTCTGCCATGGCTTCAATAAAAAATATATATATTTATAATAATTTCGATCATCTGTGAATAGTTTCAGAAAGTTTTATTAGCATTCGACAATTATTTTTATTTTTGCAAGATTTTCTAAATTAATGTGTCACACACACACACACACACACACAAACGTGCTAAAAACTGTATATGTTATTTTATTAGTTCCGGGGATACAAAGAGAAACAAGGTTTTTTTGATCAAAATTTAGAATGTTCTAAAAATAAGGAAAAATTGTAAAAAATAATTAAAATAAACTTTGATCTTTCCTCTTAATAATAATATAAACATTTAGACGATAAAATTGTGTTTTCGTCAAATTTTTCATCATGCTATGCTCTTTTTTAGCGATCTCATGGAGGTACCTATATATATATATATGTGTGTGTGTGTGTGTGTCATTCGCAGACAGTACTGTTTCTCTGTATCACAGCTCCTCAATGTGTCTAGACATCCGAATGTATCAAGCTAGGATCGAAACCCGACTGATTTGGTGTCAGTCAGAGTTTCTAACACTAAGCCATCGTCAGAGAGAAACAGATAATTCTAGCGCATTGTTTTTATGAATGTAAAAAAAACGCCAGTCAGAGGGCTCCAATTCATTTTACAGAAGAGCTTTGCATTAGCGCAGGTGTCTGTTGTTTATAGAATCAGCCTATCTCTCAACAGTGCTCAACTGAAAATATTTTTAAGAGCTATGTCATTCGCAGACATATATACATTTATATGCCAGATATAACAGCAAAACTGTCCAAATCGTCTAACAGCGGCATAGGATAATTGTCCATTCCACAAAATGTTTAATATCTAAAAAACCATTAAACTGATTGTGTTTCTTTTTTCCAGCTTTTCAGATAAAATATTTAGCCATCTTGACATCATTTGCCGTAAAATAATCACTGAAAAACCCTTTGAGTTATTCACCTAGAAAGAGAACAGATGAAAATCATTTTGTGTCAGCCCCAATGTCTTTCTAACTGAAGCAATGGTGAGAGGAGAAAGATTATTCAGTAATGGTACCACCATTCATACTCTGGCTTCCATATTCAAAGCGCATTCAAGAACCATAAAAAGAATGGTGAATAAGTCTAAAATATGGAATAGTAGGGAGGAAAACTGGATCAGGAAGTCACAGCAGCAAGAGGGATCAACTTTTCAACTTAGAGCTAAAGAGATCAATTAGAAAATATCCAACTCAATTCAGAAGACGTTTGGCACATGAGAGAGTAGTTTCAGCTATGACAGTCCATAGAGCAGTGAAAAAAAAGGCTTGAAAGTGAAATCGTATGTGAAACCTATGAGGCACCTCGTTACTCTAGGACAGAATGTTAGAAGGCGAAGATCATCGTGAATAACTTGGAGAATGATCCTGGAATAATATATATATTTGAACTATATTTCAATACTTCATGAGCTTCCGATCCTTAGCTATGATTAATTAATGATGGAGGTGTCATTTTCATTTATGATCAATTTCATCACGATTCTTCTGCTCAAAGTAGAGTCTAATAGTGTTATAAAATCTCGGAGAATTCCAGTAAGATATCTTTAATCATTTCTACGATACAAAGATTCAATTTTCCAGTTAGACTTTATATATATATATATATATATATATATATATATATATATATATATATATACGGTAGTGTCTGTGTGTGTAGATTCAGATATAGATAATATATATCTGTAAAGATAACATAATTAATTAAAAGACAAAAACAAAAGGAAATCTTTTAAAGCTAATGCATTTCAACCTTGATGAAATTTATCAAGGCAAGTGTGTACATTTGATTTGGTAACATGTATCTCTACAGAGAAGAACGTGGAGAAAATGTTCAGTTTTCCAATTTTTATAATTATAGAACGCTTTAAAATATTCAAACAATTACTGGATAATGAAAGGGAAACTTAAGGAGGATGCCAAGTGACGTAATTTTTCGGCCTATTGAAATCAATATCAACAACTGGATTAACTCACTTTCGTTCAAGGGCCTAAAACAAGAACAGAAATCGTTTTGCTAAATTCAATCACACAAAAAGTCTTCCAGACTTTCCCCCCCACCCCGAAGAAAACATGCCTCACTGCTTGCCGCATGTTCGCCGACAATGGAAAACCTGGTGCTTCCAAGAACATTATTTTTATTTACTGCTCAACTTACGACATTTATATTATATTGTTTTCATAAACCTGAAGAATGTATCTTAAAAACTCTGCATTGTGATTGTCAATATCTTAAATTGTTCGGATCGAATGAATTTCGAAAACTACTTTTTCTAATCAGACTCTATATCATGATTAATAACTTGAGAAACTCAGGAAAAAAAAATGAAACTAGAAAGAAATGTAGTTTGAAAAAGCAACAAAGAGAGCCTGCCTAGTGACAGAAATAGTTGCGCATTTTCTATTAGAACAAGATGTTAATCAAACCCAAATAAAAGACGTCTTGAATGCTGAT